GGTACCTGTGATCCTTGCGAATCGGGTGGGAGGTACGAAGGGTCAAGATTCTACGCAAGGGCCATTGACGAACGTCATTATGAATTTTTAACTCCAAGTGAATCTCGGGGATATATTCAAAAATGGGTTCTGTTGTACCTCATACAGGCCTTCATAAATGGAATACAGCTCAAAGAGAAGCGGTTCTATGTTAGAGAGATGAAGCTCGCAGACTTCAGGATCGTTAATTGGTATTCTGTATGTTCATGCTTTGTGCAGTCAAAAATAATTCTTGTAAATCTAGGGACGTCAGGCAATTACGTTTTACGAGCGACTGTCGAAACGTGGTCAGTACATGATTGCATCAAAGATGACAAATACGGATACGAGGTCTAGACGGGATACTCGTAAAATTGGCAAAGGTTCTGCTGAATCTTTAAGCATAGTTGAAGGGCTCTGACAGCATGAAACGCTGTCTAGTCCTAGACCTTGAATCAATTTTCAATATTTTTGGTATTGCGGGCTGGAACGCCACGATTGATTGTTCGACTGGAAGCCAAAATCGCCAGATGTTAAAATCGCTAGATGCCACGCTCTTCATATCCTGATATAGGTTTGTGGAGTCTTGAGCCCACATCTACCAGATAAAAGAAGCACTTTTGACGCATGTAAGAAGCTGCAATTCTTCCTTGTAGAACATTAGATCATCCGATTTGTTTTTAATGATATTGCTAGCTTCCTCGAACAAGATCGTGCGGTTAGGCGCGACAGTAGGCTGGTCCCAGCATGGAAGGAAATAAGCCATTTCATATCGCGGTCACCAGAATGTATCTTGGTTTAACAATAGAAACGTAATCCCCTGACTTTATTTCTGTTGGGACCGTTGAGAACAGCTATTGGGCCCCGCCATCTACCGTGCCGCAGTCGATGGAACTGAAGTGAGACTATAAGACACATGTAGAAGGACCCGGTCCTGATATAAACACGATAATATTATCTTTATTACAATGTGACGGCAGCACTACCATGTAAAGTTCCCACTGCACAAAGCTTTTAAATCTCCCCAGGCAACTATTAAGCAAAATAAGTGTATAGTAAATAGATTGACCAAAATAATATTAGAAGCTGTATGTGTTTTTAATTGTCATCGGCAGAAGCTCTTATTGAGCTGAAGGAAATACTACCCACGGCGGAAGGTCGTATAAAGTTGGAGAAATTATATAACGGGCAACACTTACCTTTTTATGGTGTCTCCACATGCATATGTGACATCTTCCGCTAAGTCATTAACACTCTATGTGATACACAATGCTAATTTCTACTGGGCATTTGTACTCATGACGACGCCGACGTGTCTGTTACTTCTGATGTGTTTGGCGTAACCCAGTCAACTCTGCTAGAAGCTTTCCACGTTTTTTCAATCTTGATGTCTTCATTATACAGCTTCGTACACTCTAATATCGTATTGAAGTTCTAACTGAGGCTCAACTTCAATACTTCCGTGATTGTGTGAATCACTTTTATAGAAGCCCAAGATCTAATTGCTACAACCTCTGGCAGCCCTTGGGGTGTTTTGCATGTGACTTAAAAAACAATCGCTAGTCTTAATTTGATTGCAAGTTCTTCTTCGAGACCCTCAGTCATTTTACTTTACTCCAACTAAAATTTTCCTTTTCCTCACGCCGAGAGTCGCTTTCTCGGTGCACAACGTGTTTGTTGTGTTTACGGGACTGTTGTGAGCAGCACCTGATAGCAATTTAGGCAGTTTTTCCGACCAAAGTCAGTATTAGTCTGACGATCATTAAGCACATCGAGCATTGCTGTCCAAGCCATACTCATGTCCTTGTCAGAGCTGCAGGGAGGAAGTTGGAGTACCGCTTGGCTCATCGGTATCGCAAAGTGACGTACCGACGAGCAAGACGATTTCTATTCTGGCTTCACAGATTGGATGTCATTCCAGCGGACGCGAGGGGTCATATAGGAAGCTGATGTTGTCAGCGTAATGTCGTCGCTCTCTTTATATGTTCAAAAAAACGCGACCGTCGGTTTTATGCTGCACGTGATTATGGAATCGTCAACGCAGGTTCCAAACCCTGTTTATTCTTTCAATACTATTCCTCTTAAGCCAAGCGTGACTTCGAAAAGTGGTGGACACAACAGTTGGTCAAACAAGATGCAGCTCTCACTACAAGTCAGCTGCGAGGCTCTTTGCAGAAAGTGCTGCTCGCGGTGTCTAACTTTGCGGGTCTTGCGAAACGTGTGGCTAATGGTTAGCGTTTTGCCGGTCTAAACTGCTTTCCCAGCAACAAATGCTTCAAAGAAAAGCTAAAGAAGGCGTTTGAACCGCTACAATTCAAGTTTTATATCCGTGTCAAGATGTTGATGATTCGCTAAGAACGTTGCGACCTCCACTCGTATGCACATCGTACGAGCCATAAATCGTGCTATACAGGTTTAGATTCAAGGAAACCAAATTCAATAGCTTTGTACCAAGATAAATGCGTTAGTCGGTTGCTGTATGCGATTGTTCAGGGTTCATAAAAGTTCTGTACAATTTGATGCTCGGACTGTGCGCCCTCGCAACGATGAAAAATGTTTCGTTGTGGAAGCCGGGTCATATTGCTCGGAACTGCAGAGTGTCGGTTGCCGGGTCGGCAACGGACACTCTGATGATGGTTATCCCTCTTTGCGGTGTTTAACTTTGTTGTACACTACAAGTTAGGTATGACGAACATCTCTGCTGATGCGTTGTTTAGATGTCAGAACTATGATCCAAACTCAAAGGGCGAAAACATGTACAAGTTATGTCAGCAATCCGAAGGTGTTCAGACGATAAACGTGCAAGCTACGACTACAGTGCGGGAAGAAATTGTCGCGGGGTACAAGTCTGAAAACACATGGCATTATTTGTTGAAGTACAAAAGAACCCTCTCGACGAATCACTGCAAGGCTTTCCGTCTCGCACAAGATCCCATGTTCATCGTATTGGACACAATGAAATGTTGTTCATGCGGCTGATCACGCGGATACAGCAAGGACAATTGTCCTGATCACGAAGATTTGCGTCATCGTCTCTTATATTAGTAAGATGACAGTCCTTCGGGTGGCCATATCAGACGTGTTGGAATATTTCTGAGTACTACTATTGGCCACACATGTTTAAATGGTGAGTAAGCTTGTAGGGAACTCTGAGATTTACCAGAGAGTGAGCCCATCTGGTTCCACATAGGTCCCACTTCGGTCGATAGCACAGCTGACAGCTGAAAGTCTGTGAGTATGGACAAATTTTCGGCTTCCGCGTTACACACATAGATGCAGTTGCATCCTTGTGTTAGTGAAGCGATTCAGTAGATTAGTTCATCTTGCGCCTGTTTCAAATAAAGGTATCTAATCGAAAGCTGCCAGGGTCTCTATAAACGTTGTTTTCCGTCTGCATGGACTTCCTGTTTGGATCATTTCTGATCCAAACAGGAAGTTTGCCGCGCACTATTTGTTTATTGGATACCACGTTGTTCATGTCAACAGCGGTACACTTTGAATCAGACGTTCAAGCAGAACGTGTAAATCAAGTTTTAAAATTTGCTGGTACGCTTTCAATGAGTGAAGTGAGTTTCTCGCGGAGTCGCATTAAACAACCCCACGCATGTCTACATAGTTTATTCGCCATTATACGTAAATTATGGAATCCATCCAAGACTACTTGCTTTCATAATGGGCGAAGTCTGTATCTTGAGTGATGAAGGGACTGTGACTACAGGGTCACAGTCAAACTCGAATGCTGTGACATGGTTAACAGAAACTTTGACTCAATGAGACCTTCAGACGACATGGCAAGTTGTGAGAAAACGCAAGTCAAATACCTTGTTGTAAGGCGACAAGGTTGTGAGATTTGATGGAGACGTAGTTGTGGCGGTTCATGATCTGTTACAAAGGCAAACTGATAAGAGCGGAAGGGAGAACAAGAAAGTAAATGAGTTTTACAATCTTGTACTACTTTACAGAACAAATCTGCCGGAACATGCAGTGTCCAACTTGAGAAGCAGAAAGCTTTGCCAAGGGCCACCGGACCGTTCAAGGTCTTAACTGCAATGATAATGCTTATACTCTAGCCATCCCGACGCGCATGCGCCCGCCCTCGTCTTACATTGAATAGGTAAACTAAAGACGTATCTTCGGAGTGGATCTACCGATCCTACTATACATTTGGTAGAAGGTGCAGCTGGTCATGAAGGTTTTCCCAAATGACTGCAAAGAGCAACCAACTCTTCACTCATCGTCCACTCGATTCAAGAGCGTCCAAGGACATCAAACGGTTGCTTCTATGCTGAATCCAATGTTCGAAGGCGAAAATGGTACTTGCCCTTCCGGAATGGATCGTGTCGAGCATGAATCTTTTGTAACCGAAGTGCAAAAGCATTACGCAAAATCGTCAATTATAATGTCAAATTTCGAGTTCTGCTCTGCAATCAGGTTTATAGACTCTTGCTAATATCTTCAAGCGTCGATCAAAACTGATGCAATGCCTCAATTTGCTTGCAACAAGCTCTCTTCTACTTTCAAAGTGGCCAATTATTTTTGCGTTCTGCTCCACCACGTCTGGTTGATCATCACGGAGCGTGTCATCAGATTGTCAAGTCTATATGTGGTCACGAGGACTGGCCTACTCGTCGACAGAGGAAGAAGCAATTGAACATTAAACGCTGCTATAAATTACGGCGGCTTAGCTTTCCGCCGGACGCTGAAACATGTAAAACTCAAAGATTTCCAGTCTGAGGTTGCTGACGTGATTCGCAAATAAAAAATAACTTGTATTGCTGCGATACGACAAGAACGACTAGAACAAAATTTGTTGCGAGTGTTCTAGAACGTGTATTTTAGGCTCCCTGAGATACATTCGACAAGATGATTAATCTCGAGTCGAACAAAAGTATCCCACGACTCGAGCTTTGCTATCACGATCGGCCGAGATCGTCGTGCCGAGCATCTCGTGCCAAAGTAAACAACACCTCGTAGAACCGAATTCACACACGCTTCTTAGGAGTGTCAAATACAAGCTAGGAGTCTTCAGTTATCACTTCTGCTTCGGCCGTTTTGCTTTTTTTACCGCTCGGTCGTTTCGCTTCGTTGTTGAATAAAAACAAAATACTTCGGCAGGTCTGATACAGTGTGCAAGGTACGCTTTTAAGAATGAAGGGGATGATGATATGGGCCATAACCAGCCATTTCGTGTTGGTGGATTTATGAGATGAACATCGCTATCGACGTCATTGTGACGACAAATGACAAAGGGTAACAGTAACACAGATTCAATATGCACGTGAAAAAACATTATTCGATGATGTCGCAAATGTCATCTGGACTGACTGGCGCGGAATGGTTGGTTTATTAACTACAGAGATGGCGAGACAGACGGGTCTTTTTTATTGGAAATAAGTGGATCGCGCCATTCACTTTACGGGAAACTTCTGGCGACGACTACAAGTTTCTCACGTTTTTTCTGAGTTCAACCTAAGTATAACCATGATTCAAGGTATCAGGTATAAGTATAACCAAGTTATTATATGTCAGGCTCATAGGTTTATTTTCGCATGACATAAAATTTCAAGGAACTCGAGTATTTTAACCACGTAGCTTAAGAAATCATATTTGTTACTACTGCTTTCCTATCAAGTCTTTCTCTCATTCGAAATAGTGAGCGCCGTGTTCGGGCTATCTTGAATAGCCTCTCACAGAATTGTAAATTGTTGCTCTGTCTACGAGACCTCTGTATATTATTGGCTCACAGGATCAAAAAGAAATATGGATCTAATGATCCCAGCTAACGCCGAAAGGTTTTGCAGTCGCATTGAGATGTTATCTTGAATCTCAATGCGACTGCAAAACCTTTCGCGGTGCGCTTGCGGTTGGCGGTGCCAAAGAAGCGCGAGTTTTTTTCAGATCAATTATGAAAATTTGTTGAAACCTATACAATTTATTTAGCCGAAACTCAACGATTGACAACAGTTTGCGCCAGTATTGCAGTCTCTTCACGCAAGTACTGCAGAAAAAATTGTCCTTAACCCGTTTGTCGTGTTTCGTCTGACATCTGATTGTGGATGACAAGCGGGTAGGAGTGCCAAGAACCTTGAACAGAGTTAGTCGACGCTTTGCTGTACAGACCATATCTCTATCTGACACTATGTTGTCGAAAAAATATGTTGTCGGAATTGGCTATATCCACATTAAAAAAACACAATACTGGCTTTACCGAATGCGTTTCTTGGAAAGCCGGACATAAAGTATAATCTAATAATGGCTAATAAAGGCCTACACACTGCCGAGTACGGTAGCTAGTTGATAGTACTGGCACATGCGACGATTTAGCCCGCTGAAACATTTCACATGAGTAAGCATATGTGTTCACCCACGAATATATGTTGTGTAACCTTTACATAGCACCCACATAGAAGATTGTTTCTCTTTTCCGAAGTAGCCACGTAACAAAGCCTTACTAACAGTTTTTTCTGGTGGAGATCTACATCTAAACGCATCATTGCACTACGAGCGTCATGCTGTGATGCAGCAGCTCTTGAGATAAGGAAGACCGGTGCAGGCGTTCAGACCCGCGCTTCGATAGAGCGACATCTCGATTCCCGAAATTCAAGATTTTTGAGAGTTTAGGCAAATCAAAACATCTTGTGTCCGACCCGAAAAGCAGTACGTATCGCCTCATCAATAGAGGACGGTACCATGGTGGCATTTCATAGACGAGGCATTGCAAGAGCGCATTTGCCATCAAAACTAACCAGTCTGTGTTATCTTTTGTTTCAAGAGTACGAACAGCAAAAATAGTCATCATGCCTATTTCGGTGAGAGCTGTCGCGGTGTGTGCTACGTCGAATAATCTCTAAAAATCGCAAACGGCTTAGAGCCAACCAAGTCCATTCTGAACATGACGAGGTCGTACTTTATTGAAAGTAGCTATTTTTTTGTGGAAAGGAGAGCGTTTTTGTAGTCTTAATGCCAGCGAGACCCAAACACGATCACGAGCTCGCTATTTGCTTGTAGCAAAAAAAACTCCTTCTGCAAATGCTGAAGCTTCAACGATGACGTAGCCTGGTCTTTCTGGATATGAATAAGACAGAATCAAGGCACAAATGCCGCTCTCTATTACAGTATCAAAACCCGCCTCTTATGCACCATTTGCCTTTTTCATACGGAGTATCGGTTTGGCCATTTTGGCATATCTTGAATTGGACTTGTGCAAGTAGCTGACCAGGTCAACCCACTTTTGATCAGAGGCACTAGCTAATTCAAAATTGCCTTTATCTTCATGTGCACTACCCACTCTGCTTAATGATGAATTGACCAGGAAATTTTTCTGGAGGCCGAAGAACATTTGTTGGTATCGGCGAATTGCGAATCTAAGCAAATACACTCATACGCTACTTGCGATAATCTAATTTCTTTTACACACCCAACTTCCCATGCTCTGTCAAAAAGGGTTGTGCGTAGCTGCGATGTGACCTAAATAGCTATGAAGAGGCAATTAACCGTCCCTAGTGTAGAAGACAGTCCTACCGTCGTTAGATGTCCATTCCAGAATATCTCACACAGCGAGATAATCTCGATGAGAGGAGCATCTCTGCCTCTCACAAGCAGTTCATAGTATCCTTCTATTAGGTTGAGAATGCTAAATACAGCGCAACAAAGCATGCTGTTTCCTTCGCACCTTTTATTTGAATCGGCATTTGCGGGGTGATCTTGCAGCAATACAATCTGCATGCACAATTTGCCACTAGCAATTAGCTGGCTGACGTAAAAGCTTGGCACAACTATGGAGTTTTTTTCCCTCTCACCGAACCCTCTTTATACTTTGCACGAAAGGAAGAGTCGATGATGTCATACTGTACCTTGATAGAGCTATTAACATACGACACATTTATCGGTTTAGGTAAACACGTTGATTCTATGATAGGGAGGACAAAAGCGAGGTGGATCTCTAGTAGCCACACTGTTGTAATCATTCAAAAAGGACAAAATTGATCCGAAAGATACTTTTGAGTAGCTGTCTGAATTTTTGCACGCAGTGATCTGCGAGTGTTCTCTATGATAGATAAGTCCATACAGATGACGAGCTCAGCTTTTTCTACGTTACCAGCCAAACTATTTGGGTGACCTCATCGTCTTTCGAATTCTTACACAAATACAGGCCGAACCATTCTTCCAGCTCTATATGAGCTTTTGCCGATGGTAGCTGGAGAGACTCACAGCTTCTATGATTACCCCAGTCACTAAAGGATACAGGAAGGACAGACGTAGAAGTGATGTGCGTTTGTGTGTGCAAATGCAGAAGTGAGTGTATTTATGTTAGGCGCTAGCACGCAATTGTGTGGGCCCACGCGCAACTACCTTGCGAGCCACACAATATACTAAAACTAAGTTTAAAGCTACCAACCCATCCTAAGGTATGTGGTACACTCTTACTCGTTTGCGCGAAACCAAAATAAGTACACACTCTAATACGCAGACACATGCAGTCTTAACCATATAGGCTGATCGCGTACTAACCATCCATAGTGGGAATTGAGCTTACAACCTTTGCGGTTAAACCTCATGATGCCAGACTACTTGAGCCAGTTTTTATAACTTATAAGTGAGCGCAAGCATTGAGAAGTGCAGCATAACTGACAGCCACTTGATCAACAAGTGACCAATTATATCTTCACCTGCCCGTATATAGTTGTTACTTCGTACAGTGGGAACATCACACGGTAGCACTGACTCTACAGTACCGTCACATCATGATTAAGACAAAACATATGTTTATATGAGAACCTGGTTCTTCTACACGCAACGTAGAATTAGCTTTCAGCTTCAGCAACTGTAGAACGGAGGTTGCGGCACTCCATCGCATCCACATTCCACCGACCTTGGCGCAGGACACAACAGCTCATAGCTATTCATGACAATCGCACCGGAAATATTTTTCAAGGGCCACGGTTAATATTACGGGGTTACACGTACCCTGGTAAGAAAGGGTGGGTCACACAAGATCGTGTGACCGTACAAAGGTGTGGATTACACTAGTCGGTATAATCACACAATGGTGTGGCTACAGCATGACAAGAAGCCACTACGTGGCGGGACTGCCATGAGTCATGCATATTAATTTGGATTTTACTTTTCAATCAAAAAAACCAAAGTTTGAGATATAGGCGGCTCTACCGCAAATATAATCGATAGATACATTTTTGATTCTGAACAGAAGAGTGCATTTGCCTTGGATTAAGGTTTTGGGTACTACCACGTTGTGATCCGCTACACTTGTACTGATTCTATTATAGGACAAAAGGTCGGTGACCTTAGTAAGCTTCCTCGAAGCAACGAGCAACGGCAGCCTCGCCGCACTTGTCAGCACTCGTAGTCAATTTACGCCTGAGTCGTTAATTTTGATCCTCTGTGACGGGAAAGCAATTCTCCTATTTACCCCAGGGCATGCAGGACGGGCTTTATAAGCTATGGCGTGCAACACCTTGCATCACAAGGACCGAAGCGATCAGCGCGCGCCTGGAGGTATTTTCAAAGTATGAGAATAATCTGCAAGAGCACAAAAAGAAGAACATATCGGCGTCGACTGCGTCCACGACGCCACCGTCGACGACGAATGACTCCTCCTGACCCAAACCGCTTATAGTGAGCATTAGGACACTCCTGGGTACGAATTAAGAGAATCTGTTGCTCTGGGTGGGAGAGGCCGAAATAGCTATGACATCCGCCATGCTCCAGAACGCGCAACAGCGCGTGGCGCTATCTGTCTAAGCTCGAGGGCCGAGAGCGAGAATAGGCACTGACGTGTGGTACTTCGGGTGAAGCGGCGTTTCCCCTCTGGACGGAGCTGAAGCTGCAGCTTTTGCGAGTGTTTTCGCCGCCTAACCAAGCATATCGCGTGCGATCGCGTTTGATTGCCGCCCGACAGGGCAAGAATGAGTTGGTGGACTTTGTCCAAGGCTTGCATACTCTCATTGCACAGGTTGTAGCTGATTCTCTTCCCGAGGCGGTCACGGTGGCCGTCTTTATGGAGGTCTCACATTGGCGTGGCCAAAATAAAAATCTTCCGCGTGCATTCGTCCTCTTTGCAGAAGCGGTAAGTGCGGCATTGAATGCCGACTTCAACTCTAAGTCGACACGACTTGATTGGATTGCACACCCTCAGAGCTCGTCAAGCGGACCTGAGCAAATGGATATCAGCTATGTTGAGAAAGAAGAGAGAGAGCTCCGATCTGTCGGCAGCTTTTAAACACCCGACGATTTTTGTCTATAGAGACACCTGTCACCTCTGGACTGGTT